GCAGCAGCAGCAGCAGCAGCAGCAGCAGCAGGAAGGGGATCGTGTCGTTTATGTACGATCCCAGAGATGCGTTGCTAGTGGACCGGCATGCGGTGCAGCAAGCAGCAGCAGCAGCAATAGAGGTGCTGCAGCAGGAGCAGCCGCTGCTGCAGCTGTTTGAGTTTCTCTTCTCTGCTGAATATCAATGGAAGCAGCAGCAGCAGCAGCAGGACCTGCAGCAGGAGCAGCAGCAGCTGGAGCAGCTGCGTGTCTGCTGCAGTTTGCTTTCTCCTTTTTTCCTAAGACAAGAGGCTCACTGCTGCATCGAGCTGCTGCTGCGGCAGCAGCAGCTGCATGCGCGCGACCCCGAGACATTGCTGCTGCTGGCTTTGCCTTTCTATGATAGTTTATTGTTTAGTCGTTTGCTGCTGCTGCTGCAGCTGCAGCAGAACTCCCCATGGTTCCCGCTGCAGCAGCAGCAGCAGCAGCACATGGGTCGTCCGATATCTCTGCAGCAGATGCAGCGGCTGCTGCTGCAGCAGAGAGGAGCGTGGCAGGCTGTTGCTGCTGCTGCTGCTGCTGCACTGCAGCCGCTGCAGGAGCCGCTGCAGCGCTGCGGCATACAAATCCCCGAAGCTTTTGCTGCTGTTGCTGCTGCTGTTGATGGGCAGCTGCTGCACTTGCCCATGCTGCGGCTGTTTGCTTCAGTAGGATCTGCTGCTGTTGCTGCTGCTGCTGGCGTGCAGCAGCTGCGGCGGCTGGCGCCTCCGCTGCTGCAGACGGTCTTCATTGCTATGCGAGGCTCTGCTGCTGCTGCTGCTGCTGGCGGTGGTGCTGCTGCAGTGTACCCCGAGGTGCAGCAGCAGATGCTGCTGCTGCTCTGTCAACTCATGTCCAAGGCCCCGCTGCAGCAGCAAGCGCTGCTGCAGATATTCAGCTGCGTGCTGCACCCCGTGCTGCAGCAGCAGCAGCTGCAGCCCACCATTCAAGCTGTTGAGGTGCTGCAGCTCATGGCGCAGCAGCAGCAGCAGCAACTGCTGCTGCTGCAGCGAGAGCAGCTGCTGCTGCTTACCAAGTGTGAAAAATTAACTCAGGCAATACAACAGGTTCGGCGCTGCTTTTGCTGCTGTTGCTGCTGCTGTTGCTGCTGCTGTTGCTGCTGCTGTTGCTGCTGCTGTTGCTGCTGCTGTTGCTGCTGCTGTTGCTGCTGCTGTTGTTGTTGCTTCTGCTGCTCGACGTGCTTTTGTTCCTGCTGCTGCAGCTGTTGCTGCTGTTGCTGTTGTTGCTGCTGCTGCTGCAGGTATTGTCAGGGGGGCTAACGGACCTCCGGGCCTTCTTAGGACTTCTCTTCCGCTCGGCGCTGCGGCAGCTGCTAGCAGAGACACAGCAGCAGCAGCAGCAGCAGCAACAGCAGCAGCAGCAACAGCAGCAGAGTGGAGTGGACCTGAGCCCTCTGGGCAGGCAGATAAAGAAGCTCCTTTTCAGGCTGTGTGCTCTGCAGCAGCAGAAGCAGCAGCAGCAGCAGCAGCAGCCGCAGCAGCTGGCCGGTGCGGCCCCTCATGCAGTGTGTATGGCTCTGGCTATTATTGACGCCTTCTCAGTTGCTGCTGCTGCTGGCAGCAGCAAACGCAGCAGCAGCGAACACAGCAGCAGCAGCACCGGCTGCAGCAGCAGCGACGAGACGACTGCCGATAGCATCAGCCCGAAGAACCGCAAGAGCAGCAGCAGCAGCAGCAGCAGCAA